AGAGAGAGAGAGAGAGAGAGAGAGAGAGAGAGAGAGAGAGAGAGAGAGACGATTTATAATATACAGTTTCTTTGAACAAATATGTGCAAATGTAGAATTCGATTCCTTCTCCTTCTTTCTTTTTACATAGCGCACGTTTCATTTTAGATACGTTGATCCTTGTACTTTCCGTTTCAGCATTGAAAAACTGCCCGTCCGAGTCTTCGAATATTCCGACGCCCAATATAGGCTTTTCGAAAGTAATTATTTTTACTTCACTTTTTTTACGCCGATTACTTTTCTATTACTTTCATTCTATTACATTCTATTACATTCTATTACTTATCATTCTTGGACATACATTGAGTCACAAAATGATTTGGATGAATTTCAAGCACTGAAGTTATAGCACTTCAAGATATCAAAATTGAAAGACACTGTTGACACATTTGTTCATGAATCGGTTATGACAAAAGTCAAAGTGATAATGATTTTCACAGGGTGTGAAAATAAATGTAAGATGACACGTTAATACTGTCATAACCGATTCATACGGAAATGCGTCCAAATCATCATGTGATTCAGTATACGTATCCGTCTCCTTGTTCGCTGCGAATTCTCGGGATACAGTCCGACAATATTTTTCAGGCGATGTCCGGCTTCATCATGATGATGACGCAGCAAGGGAAATTGCTATACATATCGGAAAACGCAGCAGATTACCTCGGGCATTCTATGGTAAAAGTAATTTCGTTAGTGGCGTAATTGCGGCTACAAATAAACGCGCGAAGATGCGCGTCCCGCCCGCGAACGAGTCGTGATAAGATGAAAGATTTTCAGGAAGACTTACTCATTCACGGGGACAGTGTGTACGACGTGATCGACAAGCAAGATCACATGGTGGTGCAGAATCAATTGTCGAGGAACAGTCCGGTTCCCAGCGACAGGCGGCTGTTTCTCTGCCGCATCAACGTCTCGAGAAATTCCCGCCGACAACTGCGCTTCGGTGACCAGAAGGTGATTAAAGTGTAACTGCCGATTGTTCTCGGCGACGATAATCCGTCCACGCGAACATCCGTCGGATCCTCCGCGTCCTCTTTGTTCGCAGGTAGTTCTCGTAGAGGGTCATTTCCTACCGTTCGTTCCTGTCTGCAATCGCAACGAGTTCGTCTTCTTAGCCTCCTGCACGCCGGTGGTCCTGCCGGAGACACGCGAGAGCATCGTCCAGGGCGCGACGAATATCTTCACCACGATTCACTCTATGGATATGAAGTACCTGCATATCGATAAAACGTAACGTCTCGCGCGATATCGAAAGACTCGTTTTTTCGAAGGATACTTTCCTCTCGTTCTTGGTAACCGGGAATCTATGTTTCCTCTTTACAGCGCGGAGAGTCATCTGGAGTACAGTCGTGCCGAGCTGGTCAACGTTTCGTGGTACAATCTGCTTCACTGGGACTCCATAAGGACGGCTTACTGCAAGCATCAGACTGGTAAGTACGTCACAAAGTACGCCTTGCAACGATCAAACAAGCGAAAATCCTCTTACTATGTCTGATTTTCTTTCGTGAGCAAAGTTCACGACATGGACGTGGTATACATGAACCCCGCATACGGCCAGAAAAGTGAAGCCAATATGTACAGCCCCTCTGTGTTCTCTGTCTCTTTCTGCACAGACAAAGTGTGCAATAAAATTTAAGTAAGACTTTTACTTGCCAGTCTAGTCGGGGTGCTGTTGCACTCTATAATATTATGGAAACGAGAATGCATGCGCAAAAAAAAAAATGACAAAATAGGAAGAAAAGTATAGCCTCTCTATTCTAGCTCTCTTTCTAGATGTTGGCTTCACTCTATTAGACGACAGAACATAGGGCATTCGGAATTCATGTATACTATGTCCATGGTTCACGACATCTCAACAAGAATTCTTCGTCGTCTCTTTCAAATATTTCCAGATTTCTCGATCTCTAATTTCAGTCATCCAGTCCGATCAGGAACGCTCCACGACGGCCTTGCTGAGGCTACAGAGCCGCTCCGGTAGGTGGTTTTGGGTCCACTGTGTGCTGCAAGTCAAGGACACCTCCGACGAGTGTCAGCATCCCATTATCGTTTGCACGAATCAAGTTCTCACGTATGTTTCATCGTTGACTTTGATATTCGTCGCGTCGGATTAGAGAGAGATCCCTTCGACGTGACTCCCGCTGAGTCTCCCGAAGCTGAAACGAATTTCGTCCGATCAGCGCGTCTCGTCACGCATAGGACACACATATATAGGAACGTAATTGTTACAGCGACAAGGAGGCGGAGGTGATGCGTTCCAGTTCGTGGCTATACCAGTACTCCTCCCAAACCAAGTTCACCTACGGGCTCTGTCCCGGAGGTCAAGGTCGCGGCGGCCTGTATCCCTCCGCAGGGACCGGCAGTAATCAACCGCAGGACTACGTCCGCGCTGCATATCCTCACGATCCCGACACGCAACATTCACCGTCGCTGCGCGCGGATCGCACCGATACAGAGTCGCATGGATCCACGAAGACCACGCAGGCAATGGATTACCCCAGCAGACGACTTTTGCTGCGCGACGACACGGAGCCGGTGGACATGTCGATAAGTGGCGTGGAGCAACAGCACGACGACAACCGAGCTGTGCATAGCGCGGTGCACCAGCAGCAACAGCAGCACACCTTGGATGATCCGGTGAGGTACCACAAGCAATATCACAAAAGCTCGCTGCACTTGGCTGGCTACCGAGCCAAGTTCGTGCAATGCCACGGCCAGTACGCGAGCAGTGCGGACATGCTGTCGCCCAGCAACAAGTACTATCTTACCGACCTCGATCGAGACTATTGCTGTTCTGAGCGTGGCAGCCTGTTGCTGCACAAACGACTGCCACCGAAGACGCTGATCGCGCCGTCACCCTCTGGTCAAGGCACCACGGCTGCCGCTGTTAGCGGTTCAACGGCGGAGCCGCAGGAGAGCACGACCTTGGAGAGCTGGGGTGCCAGTCCAGCATGGTCGGACGCGCTGCAGAGGGTGCCGGATGTGGTGCATCAGGAATTGAGTCCGTACATCACCACCCCTACTACACCGGTTAACACACCCGACTCGGAGCTGCACTCGGACGCGCCGATTTTCAACTTCGACTGGGCCGGTGAGCAGCACGTGCCCAATCTGAAGATCACCTTCCGCAGCACAGCCGCCAGTGCAGCAGCCGCTGCTGCAGCCGCGGCCGCCGCTCATCCTGCGCAGACTAGGAAGCACCAGGACGTGCAGCCGATCACGTTACAGTTACCACGTAGGAAGGGACAGTCGTCCGTGAACGACGGCAAGGACTTTGCGAAATGAAAGAGCGCAAGCGATTCTCGCGTTCTTATCGCGTAACCGCGTGTAATCTGAGAGAGACGTGATGTGTCGGAGTCCTATTCTTTTTTACTTCAACAAAAAATTTATCCAGGGGCAAGGAAGATGCGCAAGAGACAACAATAGGAACCTAGATGGTTGCGAAACGTGGGAGAGGATACGATTTGGAGGAATCATATATTTACGTATGCATTTTCACAGACAACGGAGTATATTTTTCCAAATTCTATCGGTATCGCATTACACAATCTCTTTGCGCTCATTTGGTCTTTCATCTTTTTCATATCTTTTCTTCTCTCTTTCTCTCCCTCTCCTCTCCTTCTCTCTCTCTCTCACATACACATGTACACGCGCGCGCGCACATGCACGCACGCACGCACGCACACACGGACGCACGCACACACACACATATGCACACGTGCACACGCGCGCGCACACGTCCACGCTGTCACTCACTCATTCCTTCTCACTTTTTCTCATATACACATACACACATATACACTTTTGCTTCTTCCTTTCCTCTCATTCTCTCTCTCTTTCTCTCTCTGGCGTGTTATATAAGGTGTCTCGGAACAATCTTCGAAGCTTTCGTGAAAGCATAGTACGAATTGAGGTGAACTTAAAAGTCCTATACGGTTTTGTGATATTCGCAATAATACTAGGCAAATTGCAAATTTTGTCGACTACATGAATGCGAATAGACATTTTCGATGTATTTTTGCCTGATGAATACGAATTCATTGTCCAAAACGTTGGCTAGCACGTTAGTATTTTGAGAAAAATGACATCAAAATTGTAAAAGCGGCATTTTTTTAGAGTTTTCGTGAAGTTGTAGCGACAATTTTTTTTTCTAAATTTTATTAATGTCGCACAAAACTATCAACTTTTAGCTTTAAATGCTATTTGTTTCGTTTTGCTATAACCATTCGTTTTCGAGATAAAGCTAAAATTAAAAACATTGATTGCGTGCACGCAGCATCAGTATCATTGTTCCGTACAATTTTTTTCCAATGAATGCGAGTAGTCATTTCGAACATATTTTTTTACCTCCACGCACAAATCTATTAATCAAATTTTGCTACTACATAATTTTGAAACAATAAGAATAAATATGTACGAAGTGCGACTATAACACTAGTCAATAAATAAAATCTTTTCTGTAACATGGACCACATGAAAAAGATAATTCTATATTTTTATAATAATTCTATACTGTAAAATAAGTGTAAAGTTTTCCTTCTCATTTCTCTTTTCACTTTTGTGTCGCATATATGTGACAGATTTATAATTTTCCTTCTTATATCATGATACATATATGATGTAGTTTTGCGTACAAAAAAAATTTGCTGCCAATACTACAACATTACGAAAATGTCGTTTATGTAATTTTGAAGCCATTTTTTCTAAATCCTAATGTGCTACACAAATTTGGACAACGGATTCCTACTCAGCAAGTGTTTATAAAAATGACAATCATGTAATCAACAAAATTTGCAATTTGTTGCCTACACGGAGAAAAATAATTTTGCTCTTTTAGTAAAATCGTCGTTGCTACTGCATATTCGTAGTGACATCAAGAAAATTTAGTTGACGTAACTAATTTTACAAATTATTCGTTATTAGAGATAGATTAGAAATAGTTTTGTTGCCAGGATAGAAAAAGTTGGTTGAATGTATTTGTCCTAAGAACATTAATTTTCTATTGATACAAAATAATGTATCCTTAGAAAATTAATTTTCTATTGATACAAAATAATGTATCCTTAGAAAATTTATTTGCTATCGGAACTGCAACTGCTTATGTAAGTCCATCATGGTTTTTATAGCAAAATAATTTGTAGATTCAGCAAATTATATCCAGCAAATAGTGTTTACTCTTAGCAAATCTTTTTGCTATTCATATAATAACAAAAAGATTTTGCTAGATCAGCAGAAAATTTGTTGGGCTAACAAATTATTTTTCTCCGTGTAATAAAATTATGGAAATATTAATTAAAGAAGATTAATGAATGATCACACGAGATATGGTAGATGAGTGGTAATGTCTGCCATCGTGTGCTTATATGTACGTTAGATCAAACTGAACAAAAAGTCTTCGGCATTTTCTTAATAACTTTGTAGATTTTTAATTATTAATTAAAAAAAGATGACGGATAGTCGCTCGCGATAATATATATTAATGTTATCTAATTAATAACTAAAAATCTACAAAGTTATTAGGAAAAAAGTAGAGGACATTTTTGTTCAGATTTTTTACCTAATGTACAAGCACACGACGGTAGATGACGCCACTACAACTCATCAATCATATCTCGCGTAATCATTCACAAATATTTTTTAATTAATATCTCGACAATTATTATCAATATCGCAAAATGGTATAGGATTTTTATGTTTACTTTGATCCGTACTATGCCTCCACGAGTGCTTCGAAGGTTGTTCTGAACACCCTGTATATTCTCAAATCGTAAATTTCTTATTAATATAAAACACGTATATAAACATAGACTGATTACATCGATGTTTACAATAATCTACGATTAAAAAAAGTCGTACATCGTTTTCGTTCATTTCTGGTATACATTTATGCGAGAACATTCGTTTGAGATAAATTACACGCACATCGTACGCGTATATTTCAAGAGTATATATATATTTATATATATAATTATATATGTATGAGTGTGCAGTGTCGTAGAGGATACCCAGGTACATGCGCTATATATGTTGAGGATTTTCCTTTGAAAAATACCTAAATCTTACGTTTAACATACGACCGTGAAATATTCGCTTTGTACATTTCAACGCATTCGACGAAAAAAAGTTTCTTTGCGCAACGCGTGTCGTGTGTTACATTTACGTCTCGACGTGATACTACGCAAATAGATAAATCAAGAAAGGCAGTTGTAATCGTTACGTAGCATAGTAATAGTAGTAGTAGCAGTAGCAGTAGCAGTAATAGTAGTAGTAGTAGTAGCAGCAGAAGTAGCAGTAGCGGCAACAGCAACAGCAGCAGCATTAATAGTAGTAATAGTAGTAGTAATAGTAGAAGTAGTAGCAGCAGCAACAGCAGCAGCGGCAGCTGTAGCAGCTTCCACCGGTTTTGCGTATGTCTTTGCGTCGTATTTTAGCGTGCGATAAATATCATCAAACAATTTCGCGTTATCGACGTCTTAATCGCGGATCCAATGCGGATCAGGAAGTTGATTGTGCATTCGTGTTTTCTTGAACTCTCGTGCGCGATCTAATTTAGTCGCGACTAAACACACATCTCCCAATACGTCTTAACCTACGCGCGCGATTGCGGATTTTTTATTATTAAAAGAAAAAAAAATAACGAAATAAATAAATATAAATAAAGTATTACGCAGAGTGTATCTCCAATGCGAAGCTAAACTTTGAAGATATGTTCTGGTGCTGGCATAAATAAAAATAAAGATTTTGCATACAAGTGTAATCGGGAGAACGCTTGCTCTCACTGTTTCTCTCTCTCTCTCTCTCTCTCTTCCCCTCCCCTCCCCCTCCTCCTTTCTTACGAACGTGTTGCAACTTCTTTTTCTGAAAATAATAGATCGAAGGTACACAAAGCTTACGTAGTATCTATTGCGCGTCAATACTCCCGCATCTCATCGTATTAAATATCGTCGTAACGTAACTCCGAATTTCACGCGTCCGCGCACTTGAAATCGCGAATTCGGCAACAGGAGTGTGCTTTTCAAGCATTAAGAAAGAAAAGAGAGAAAAATCCCGAGAAGCGTTCGCACGTATCTCATAGTCGCGCTACGCGAAGAAGGAATCATGTGCAACGAAAAACGTCGAGCGCCGTTACATGCGTTCACACATACACGCACACACAGACACATACACACAATTCGCGCCTGTCGTCCTTTTATCGCGTTTTAGATTCGACATTTTTCTCTCTTTTTCTTTTTACAATATACGACGCGACTCACTATAGTGTTTGCGTCATGCAAGATCGAATCGCGCGTGTGAGATCGACTCTCTATAAAGGTAAAAAAATATCACCGAGTTCTACTGCTATTCCCTTCCGTCGTGTGTTCTGCGGTGAAACCGCGCTCAAAACTGCCGGGAGATGTGAGAAATTGTATATATATATATATATATATATATATATATATATATATATATATATATATATCCCTTTTCCTCACTTTTTTCTCTGCCCCTCTTTGAAACTGGTTCCTCGTGCATGATACGTCTCCTCGCGTTGCTCTTGTATTAAGGTTTTACGGTAACAAATGAGTTCTGAAATATCAGCTACAGTTACTACACGTGTAGTAATATACTATGCGTACTACAAGAATCTCGCGTTTAGAATCGTCAATATTTATGGTAAGAAAAATGCTTTTAAATTCGTTATCACGAAGAAAGAGACACATCGACCTTACATACGCGTCACGCGTCAGGAAGCAGCGCGCTTGGTATATCAATGCGATCGCCTAAGAAAAACGGCCGCGGAATCGACCGCAAGCCTCGTATCAAAAGAGCCCGCGAATAACGAATCGAAATAATATAATCGTTAAATTGTACTCGCTTAATTGCCGATATACATGACGATTATGTCCACCCCGATGTACCTAGGTTCGTTCTTGTACCCACGATTATCGTTGTTGAGTACCTTCCACACTTGGGTGGTGTACACATTAGGTGCAGGCTGTCGCTCGAAAGCCGTGCATTCTCTCGTTCGCGGATACCCGGCGATTAATTCTGGTAATTACATGTATTGCGGGTGAGCGAGCGAGAGTAGGGAGCAGCGAGACTTTCGTGCGGCCGCGTATCTTGTATATATATATATATATATATATATATATATATATATATATATATATACATACGTATATGTGTATATATACATATATACACATAGAGTATCTGACGCAATACTACGTGTGAAGGTGGAGCATGTCCTCATGTGTACAAAAAACGCTGGCAGTTTGCAAACAACTACGTGAAATTTCGAGATATTAAAAAAAAAAAAATTAGCGAACTTGGGCGCGCGATGATATAGGCCGAGCTCTGTAAGCTCTGAGATCTCATTGAAAGTGGTTGAGACGCGATTGTTTCTTAGCGAAACGCATACGACACGCTCGCAATATATCGAAAAACACTTTGCTATGCACTGCTCGCATCTCCGACTTTCCTCCGCCTCGTTCTGCAATTTTCGGTGAGATTTTGCGCTTATAGAACTCGTTCCACAACATCATGCGCTCTGTGATTCGTTCATTTTTCTCACTAACATCTCGGAATTTCACGTGATTGTTTGCAAACTGCCAAGGGTGCTCAGGTGTTCTACCTTCACACGTGGTATTGCGTGCTTGCGTCGGACACTCTGTATATATATATACACACACAAACACACAAACACAGCGTGTCTCAGACCTATCCTTCGTAACTTTCGTGGCAACGTAGAAAGTCTTATATTTCTGCGATATTCGCAATAATAGTCGAGATATTAATTAAAGAAGATTGGTGAATGATCACGCGCGATGATAGATGAGCTGTAATGGCGATATATATTGTTGTATGCTTGTACATTAAGTCAAATTGAACAAAAAAGCCCTTTATCATTTTGCAAATAACCACGTAGATTTTTAGTTATTAATGAAAGAAAATTGTCACATGATTGCGCGATACAAATCTATGTGGTTATTTATAAAATAGGAGATTTTATTCAGTTTGACTTAATGTATATGACTGAGACAAGCGATAATACTTGAGGCTGGCGTACGACTCGCGACGCGAGTCGCCGGCCGAGCGGTGGACTCTCCTGCGGGAGTCACGCGGGAGATCTCAGAGAGGTCTCTTGTACGCGTGAGAGGCACGTGCCTCATGACGAGCATAGTTTTTCTCGCTAGACATGTCCTGGCGAATATTCGAGAAGACGCGAGTCTCCCTGCCACGCTGGCGAGCGGATCCAGTCGCCGGTACGAGAGCCCGGAGCAGTCATAGCGACGTGCTTTTGCTTGCGCTATTCACCGCTGACGCGATATCCGATTAGTATAATAATTGCTTTGCGCGCTGCGCTGCGCTCGTTGCTTTGCTTAGCAATCGCTTAGGCTAGTTCTTCTCGTGTTTTCGCCGATAGCTTGCGACTGTCGGCTCGCTCCGGTCGCAGGACCACCGACGGTACCGACGCTTTCCGCTTGTTGCGCGTGTATTGTAAAACTATTTGTGTAAAAGTGATTAAATGTGTGCTTGTCGAACTCGTGTTCAAGTTCTTTCCGCTCCCGGGCGTGCACTTTAGCCGAATCGCATTTCGATTGTTAAATCGTCCGTCCTAGAGCGTTTCGCTCGCGGCCTAGCAATCGCCAAGACAGTATAAATATACGAGAGTGGACAGCGCCACTACAGCTCATCTACTATATCGTGCTATATCATTCACAAATCTTTTTTATTTAATACCTCGAGATATTGCGCATATAGCAGAACGGTATGGCATTTTTATGTCCATCTCAATTCGTTCTATGTTCCTACAAAAATTGCGGAGAAGAGTTTGGGACATCCTGTATATGTATGTGTGCGTGCATGTGTGTGTGTACACATATGTATCTCCACGAGTATTTTTCGCGACACTGCACCGTGTATATGTGTATGTTGATTGCGTGAGAGTGCGTGTTTAGTGTGCGTGGATATTTTGTACGAAATACAAACGCACGCGTGCCAACGCGTGCATAGTAACGTCGCTACATTCACGCAGCGATAATGTTTCTCGCTCGAGTGACGAATGCGTGACGACACGCGAAAGTAGATACGAGAAAACGTCGTCGTCGGGTTACTTGCTACGTCGGGGAACACCCCCGCGAAAAAGAGAGAAATGAAAAGAGAGACGTGGAGTCGATTAGAATCATTTAGACTAGAGTCGCTCAACCGACGAGTTAGCTACAGGAAACATGTGTGTATATACGATCGCGTGAAAAGGAGACGCGCTTCGCAGTAACATATATCGGCCATAATCGCGCCAACTTGCTGTCATCAAGATCAAGCCACTATCTCCTCGCAGTCTTGGAGTCAATATAGGCATGTCGGCGCGCATAAGATTGACTTTGATTACTTTACGAGCCTTCATCTCTAAAGTCGCTAAAGTCGTGTATCGCTCGACATAGTGCTCTTATTTTACTTTTATTTTACTCAACTGCTTTTTTTGTCTTTTTTTTTCAGTTTTTCCTCTTATAATTATTATATAACTATATTCAGTATCGTCTCTTACAATAGCCTCGAGAGTTGTGCTATGACGTTCCTCCCTTCCACGCCCGCCTTCCTCCACTTCATCTTTGCTTCCTCCCCCCTCTTTCACTTTTTCTCATTTTCTTACGCCGTGTTATAATTTTGGTATAATCTCTTAAAGCTTCGTTTGGCACGTATAATTAGAATGTTATTTTTAGTTTACGGAAGAATTCGATTTAGCGTAATCTCTCTCCCTTGTGTTCTTGCCTCCTGATCGCTAATAATCCTCCCGTACTTCCATCCTCTTCGTCCATGTGATTTGCTCTCAGCCACCCTCACGTTATTATTACATTTAAACATTACATTCATTTACAGTTTTACACTTCGCTACGTTGTAAAATTTACATCGAGTGTATACATCGTTTAATCGGTTTGTGTGAGCGACAAGTTACAAGGATTATCATTATTTTTTTGATATTTTATGTAATTAAGGATTCTTGTGCCGTTTAATTCTTCGTGTTGAGTCCTCCGTCGCAACTTCGTCACCGTTCATATCCGGCGCCGCTTGCTCCGCATTACCTCCGTACGTACGAGAAGGAGATGTTCCCAGCCGGGGAGCAGCGCGACGGTTCCGGATGTTTTTCGCAGGGCCCGAAGGTGACGAACGCGTCGGAGGAGGACACCGGTACACCCGGTTTCCGAGTATACCGGAGGTGTGATGCAATTGTCGAGCACGCGCGCGACGCGGACAGAAATTTATGAACGTTACGATATCCATGGCAATACCCGCATCGCGTCACTTGCGAAACTCGGAGACCGGGCTGCGTGCGTTTTGACTAGAGAGTCGTCGCCGGCCGGCTCGCACGCCTCGTCACAGCGCGAACGGGTACGTGTCACCCCTCGCCGAGATCTACGCGATGCCCCAATTTCCCAATTCTCCAATTCGTCATCGAGCGAGACACAACGCGGTGTATAGGCGCAGTATCTAACGAGCATTCATCAATGTCGCTGAGCATCGTTCGAAGAGCTCTGAAGCGAAACGACTGCCAACGGACTCGCTGGAGCGATTCGCCAAATACGCGCGGCGACGTTCTGCGCGCGAGGCTGAGAACTCTCTCTGTGGAGACGCTACGCCCCTTTTAAAAAGAAAGAAAGAAAGAAAGGAACCACTGCCTCGTTAAGACTTTTTGACATGTGTCGCCAGAAATTGGCGGCCGAAATTTGAGAACCGGGAATATTGTACACCAAACAAACCCGCGCGCTGTGTCTCTGCCGCGTACAGGAAATTACGGGCTTGTTTACGTCGCTCTGCATACTACACTGTTGATTCCCCGACAAGGATATATTAGTACATTATTAATTTTTTTTACAAGTTAATGGCAACACCGACGTAATGGCAATGCGGCATAACAGCGTTAGAACATTAAACTCCGACGTTACGTCGGACTAGAAGGAAGGAGGAAGGGAGATAGAAAGGGAAGGAGAGAGAGAGAGAGAGAGAGAGAGGGAGAGAAAGAGAGGGGGAAGGAAGGAGGAAGAGAGGGAGAGAGAGAGAGAGAGAGAGAGAGAAAGAGAGAGGGGAGGGAAGGAGAGAGAGAGGAATAGAGGGGGGAGGAAGAGGGTGGGAAGGAGGGAGGGAAAGAGTCGCTCAAACACGATCACTAATTAATTAATTCCCGCTAAAAAATGCAGCCGTTCAAACGGCGCAGAAACGACGCGTGATCGTCGGGGGTTAATCTCTCCTGTCCTGATGATTTGAGGGCACTCTCGGCCGGTGAACGCCAAGGCGAGAACTTCAGCGGCTCCTCCTGTGACTTAAAGCGATTGCGCGCGAGCGGCCGGCGATATATCGATAAGAATACCACAAGGCGATTTGGTAGTCGAGAGCATCAAACACTTCGTCGCGGCAACCGTCGATCTCTTCGCTTCGTACGCTCTCGGAAACGCGTAAAAACGGAGAAAAGTAAACAGCTATATGTTTAATAATAATAATAATAAGCTATAATAATAATATTATAATAATAATCTATAATAAAATTATAATAATAATATGACAATAAAAACAACAACAACCACAACAATAATAATAACAACGATAACAATAAAAATAACAATAATGATGATGGTGATAATAATAATAATAATGGAATGTTGCTTCGAGGTGTTCGAGATGTGTGTGTGCGTTTTTACGCGCAATGCGTGTGCAGTCATCCACTGTTGGATCCTCCGGGAAAGCAATCGGGGGAGAAGACCAATGCGAGGGTAGATGTTAGAAACTAGTTGTAGTTTGGCCCCGACGCTGTTGCTCCTGATGCTAGTATCCCCGATCGACCGCGGTACGATTCCTGCTGTGCCATTTGCATTTAAGAATTTTCACGTAAGTCCTGCGAAATGTCGCGTTGCATAGCGCGTAACACATCGGATTTACAGTACTGTTGATATAACAAAGGTAATAAGACATATCCCACAGTTCCCGCGGTATAGAGATTTGACAACCGATGAGAGGCTTCACGAGGACCAGGATGTTGTACGGCGTCCACGTCATTATGAACGCCAGTAGAATGGCCATTAGAGTTTTGGCGGCCTTCTTTTCCGTCTTCTTTTCCGTCTTTTTTTTGTTCGGTTGCTTGTTCAGTATGCTCTTGTCCACCTTTGGTATGGTCTTCGCGTTCAGCGGGATCCTGATGTCTGGCATTTGTGACGACCTCCTCATTACCGATGACGGGCTCGGCGTCGTCAGGCGGAATACCTTGCCGGCGCTACCGCCGGACACACCGGCGCTGAGGCCGCCACCGCCGTCGAGACCGCTGCCACTGGCACCTCCATTGCTTCCTCCTCCTCCTCCTTCACCTACACCGCTACTCCCGCCGACACCGCTGCTATCGCCACTGCCGCTTACACCGCCATCGTCTTCGCTGTCCTCCGTCTTGTGTATCTGGACCGACATGGACTCGTCGTGAATCATCTTTATGCTGGCTCCTTCGCTAAACTTGGTGCCGTTGCTCGGCAATTGGATCAGAATCGTATAAACCTGAAAGTAGGGAGCAGGCAAACGCGTATAAAAAAATCGCGAAAGATAAACAATCGCACGAGACAGACCTGGTATTATTATCCTTATTAGCACGCGCGACTATAATTTTTACCATTCCTTTTCCGTTCTATTCAGAATGACAGAATTCACTACGTATGAATTACTCAAGTTCAAGTGGCCGAACTGTCTACTTTTCTACTTAGAGCGGCACTCTACTTTTCGAGTGGACTTTTCACCCGACTATTACTTTAGAGAAGGAGAGACGTTTAGTGTGATATCTCGTTCTAAAAAATCGCTTAGCGGGAAGCTAAACCGTAGCAGAGAAAAGTTTTGTGAAGGGGATGACCGTAAAACTTGTTGTGTTGTTTGAGCATTCTACAATACAATTGCGTGCGTTGAGCATGATCGTAAGAGCCAACCAGAGTGTTTGATTCACTGATTGCTTTATTCCGATTGGTTGTCGTAATCACTTACAACCACTTACGACCACGCTTACACTATTGTAGAATGGCCTTAATAAAGTACAATGCACCCCGTCGAGGTGGCGCTCAAACGGACACAGGGCGTACGTACAGAATCATTCTTGATGGTTTTCGTGGCGGGGTCGGCTGGGTGCGTCGACCTTTTGTACTCGTGTAACATTATGCCCTTGTCCGGGGCGGCACCCGTGACCTGTAATGCGCCAAGGGAGGGACATCGTGACGCCGTGCTGGGGAGCGGCGTCTCGGCAGACAACGGCGTGAGAGTTTCCTCGTAGCCTGGCACGGTGCGGCTGCTCTCCGGACCCGCGATCTCCTCGTCCTCGTCCTCGTCGTCACGTCCGCTGTGCCACCACGCGATGCACCACATTTTGAGCCAAGTCCAGGAGAACGGCCTAGGCTGTTCGCCGTACAGAAAAGCGGAAAGGCAATTACGATCGATTGTGTCGATAGGGACGACTTTCACTTTCCGCCGCTCACGAAAGATTTCGGGAAGGTCCGCAATGTGCAAAGTTATTCTCGCTGATGTAATCTCGCGTGTGCACGGGTGTTTTTCTCTCTCTCTCCGGTCTACGGTATATGATAATCTTATTACTTACGCCATTGTAATTCTTATCAACGTAAGAGACGGCAATGTGCGTGGTGTGTAAGGCTTCCTCGCCGGTGCTCGACTCGCTTCGCGCTCTTTTACTTTCTTCCAGGTCTAAAGCATCATCGCTACAAAGGAAACGAAAGAATAAGTGTTTTTCTCCGAGCCGCAGTGAGTTTAATTCCAAGTCGCGATACAAGTGACATACTAATCGCTCGCGTTATTCAAACCAAAAAAAAAAGGATAGGAAGGATGCAGTTGAAATAAGAGTTGAGACGAGTTTAAAATAGTGTGTCTCTCCCGTAAAGTATTTCATTCCGCGCGTACGTTTCATCGTATAAATTCTCGAGAAAAGCGTCCTCAATGTTTTCGAGTCGCAACTTGTTAAAACGGCAACACTGAACGTATATGGAACAATAAAGTAATGAGAAAGAGAAAAGTAGGCTCGATCTAATCGAATATTTCGTTTGATTATCTAAAGGAGGAAATAACGAACGAAACAATATTTTGACGAATAATTGTAGGACAATTGAAAGATTCAACGATACTCATCAATCCGGCCATTCACTGGACGACGACAAATTCAGAGGGCAAAGAATTGAAAGAGTTGTTTACCATCTCGAGTTGCTGCGCTTGCCCGCGTCTTGCTTCCCGGCCTGTAAGTTCGGTAGTTCCTTCTGCCGTTTTTTTGTCTCTTTCCATATCCGCCAGTACAATATCATCATTACGCAGACAGGAACATAAAATGCGGCGATGGCTGTAATGAAGGTGACGTAATGATTCGTCTCGATGAATTGAATGTAACACGCGGTCTCCGGCACGGTCCTCTGGCCCTCGATATACGGCCAGCCGTAGATAAAGGGCGGCCAAAGAAGCAGCGATATACCCCAAGCCGCTCCTGGAGGAAAAAAGACGTCATCGCAGGTATCCTTCCCAGTGTCTATTGACTCTTTGTGATCTCTGTGTCCAGGTTCGTTACAATGATGTTTACTATAATTCCGCGACAGTTAACCCTTTAACGGCTACGTCCTGATACATCACCTTGGCAATCGTCACGTTTTGATATGTCAGTTCTAAGCATTTGAAAAGCACTCTTAAAAGTACTCTTGCTTCTCTATAAAGTGTTGTAAAGTGCTGCCGCTCTTCTCGCCAATCGTAAAACCACCTTCAGCGAGGAACCACCGACAGCTAGACGATATCGATAGCAGAACTATTGCTATTTTAATGTCGGCTTTAATCTGTTCGGCCCGTATTACGCTATCGACTGCCGACTCTTAGTAAACTAATCAAAGTGAAGCGGTCTCACTTGTGATTGATCCATTAAGAGACGACAGTCGTAGTCGGCAGTCGTAGTCGGCGGTTAGGTCGGTCCAGTAAGGTTTGTCCAGTAAGGTCGATAGTCCGATACGAGGCTTAAGGCTACTAATCAATTTGCCGAAAGCGTTGACGGTGGCGACATGATTGCAAAATGACGAACTAGGTTCGCAAAGTGCTATATTTAAGGTTGCATTCCGTTAAACGCATATGCGCGCATTTACTTATAGTTTGTATTATGTTATACTAGAGAATGCGCGCATAACTGCGGACAGCAGTCTAAGTTAGAATGAGAGAAAGTATACTTGTCTCTCTCTAACTTATTGCACTATTGCGAAGTTCATCGAAAATGCCCCGAATATTACACATATTGTAACATTTAATGCGTAATTGTTCGGTTATATTCGGCTTCGAGCTGGTTATATTCACACAGCTGGTTTTATATTAATTTCCGTTGAAAATGAGGCGATTTGTTACATTTATTTTATTACATTTACTTGTTACATTTATTTTAATAAATTACTTCGGCAAAACAGGAATATTCGGAGCATTTTACAAAAACAAATTGCAAATGTCATTTTAAGGATGTATATTTTTATTTAGATGTGGTTCGCAAGAATTTTGGGGTTTACCTCCCTTCTGACGAGTTATCGAGAATAAATGGTCGCGATGATCGATCATGAGCCTTAAAGGGTTAAACTGCGACAACTGCGTTGAAACGTTATAGCCGCGCGATTCAGTCAGAAAATTGTCGACAATCGTCGAATGTGCGTCAGTTGCGTGCGTGCGTCTCAAGTCTGACACTCACCGATCATAACGAAGGCTTTCAAGTTGGTCCTTGTGGCTCGATAGGTGAGCGGGCGCGTGACGGAGAAGTATCTGTCGAAGCTGATCGTAAGCAGATTGAGGACCGACGCGTTACTCGCAAGATAGTCGAGGGCGAGCCACAGGTCGCACACGTGGGAGCCGAGCGGCCAGTAACCGAGCACCGTGTACATCGTGAAGAGAGGCATGGAGATTAGGCCGATCGATAAGTCGGCCACCGCCAGGCTGAAGAGGAAATAGTTCGAGATCGTCTGCAGTTGCTTGTCGATCTTGAACGATACCATGACCATTATATTACCGGCGACTGTTACGAAACTGAGAATGACGGCGAACACCGCTATAAACACACGCGTCAATAGCCCGTACTCCTCGGGCTCAACGCCGCAATCAAAACCGTTGCCGACGAAGGTGTCATTGGTAGGAAATTCCCGCGTCGAAGTAACAGTCATGTCTGATGGACTGATCTCTCCTCTCCCTGTCTCCTCTCTCTCTTCCTCTTCTTCTCTTATCCTCGTGTTTCCCGCTCGTTCAGTGTCCTAGCCTTGCGCGTAGTTACACCTACCCTTAACTTGAAAGTGCGACCGACACGGCAACTGGCTCGCACCGCGGGTGACGCGCGTCCTATGGTACCCTCGCGAGCGATCCGCTCTCACTCAACTTGAACCTTGATCTTTGGGGCAATGCAGTCACCCCCGCGGTATCCTCTCTCCCTGGCCCACCTTCGTATCCTTTTACCATGCGCGCGTTGGTACGCTGAAGTGCGCGCTCGCCCACGCGTCCACGCGCACGCCCGCCCGCTCGCACGCATGTACGCACGCACGTACGTACGTACGTACGTATGTACGCGCGATCGCGCGAGCGCCACGCTTCCGGTCCTCCTCGTCGCGTCAGGATACCTGCGGCGAACGGCAGCGCCTTCGCCGGTGCTACCGTCACGATCTTTACCCTCCTTCTCCTCTTTCTCCTGCTCCACCTTCTCGTTTTCGTCTTTCTTTTGATCCACTCTTTCTCCTCCTCCACCACCACCTCCTCCTCCCCCTCCCCCTCCCCCTCCTCCACCTTCACTTCTTCCTCCTCCTTATCCTCTTCCTCCTCCTCCTCCCCCTCCTCCTTCTCTTCCTCTTCCTCCTCCCCCTCCCCCTCCCCCTCCTCCTCCTCCTCCTCCTCCTCCTCTTCCTCGTCCTCTGCCTCCGTCGTCGTCGTGCTCTCGCTAGGTGGAAGGTAGCGTTAACTACATCCCACACTTGTTCCTCTCGGTGGAGACATCGAGTCTACGAGCAGAGACAATACTGATGTACCGAAAAATCGCACCCGTGCCCCTTCCCTCCTCCCTTGGTGATGGTGATCAGTGCATTGAGTAATGTAAGATTAACGGGGGACGGCGGAGGTAGACTCGTGTTTATCATAGTCTAGCTATTACACCCGCGGTAAGCGACCCGTTTTACAATTCGACGCCGGGTCAGTATGAAATTCGAATACATTAGGTGTGTTTTGCAATACGTCGTTTGCCGGAATCTCATGTCAGAACGCAGCCGATGAACCAACGAGAGAGTTAATTTTCCGTAAACGAGTTCTCCTCATTAGACTGTGTTTCCAATATGCAACTCTGACGTATTACAGAACAAACCTTAATAAGGAAATTGGCGCGAAGGGAGAGGCATTTAAAAGGGTAACTTGATGTAATATGAGTTAGCGCAGGAAGTTATGCGTGAAATATCGCGATAGTTCTTGTCCTTTCAGTAGTATGTCGCGCGACGTCGTGCGACTTCGCGATTATCTCGTTTCGTACGATCGGCTACTCTGTCTTAATTGTCGAGTCATCGTCGGTGCACCGAGAGATACTCGAGCGGCATAAAAAAGAATGAAATAACGAACAGAAAAAAGAATAACGAAGAGGAAATGAAGGAGAGTGACAGTCAGACAGACAAACAGAGAGAGAGAGAGAGAGAGAGAGAGAGAGAGAGAGAGAGAGAGAGAGAGAGAGAAGATAAAAAGGAGAGAAAGAGTTCTTTTGTTGTACTTCGGCATGGCACGGGGCTACCAGGTAGTTCGTGAAAAGCGCAACCAATGCCGCGGGACACCACTCCGTTTCCGTCGTCGGATTCGCAAAAGGTACGCCTGTTTTTCCGACTACTACCACTACTTTATCTTTAACGAGCTACTTATTCGCCCCTCGCGAACAAGACGCGCCGTGCATGCGGAGGAAAATAAAAAAAAATGCTGACTGAAAGGAAAGCAGAGAGAGAGAGAGAGAGAGAGAGAGAGAGGGAGAGAGAGAACGCCGGGAGAATGACGATGACGACAACGACTCTCAGCGTTATCAAGCTGTCGCGTACGCGCTTCCGTTTCCGAGCGCGCGCGCGAATGATAATGCGCTACTCCGGGACGAGATTCTCGCGTGTGTCAGCGTGACGCTTATCGAGCACGAGGCCGAGATAATGGATTATCGATGATCCGTCGTTTGACCCTTTTCCCGTCGGTTATAACGCGATAACGATCCCGAATTTTAATTCCCACGATAACAACGGCAATCGAGATACTCGTAATTTCCTTACGCGCGGAACAAACAGGGCGCGTGCCGGGGCGTTTCCCACCTCGCAAAGTGACAAATTAACGATCCTCGACATCTGGTACTTGACCCCGGGGCTTGCGCTCTCGTTAATATAAAATCATCTACCCATGTGCACGCGATCGCGCGTAATTATACCGAAGTACAAAGCTGCAGTAACTCGAATTGCCCGGTGTAATATGTCGTCATGTTACACGAGATCCAGGATAACACACTGAAAGCGGAGTGCACAGAAGATGTCGACGTAAAGTTTCGGGCTTGTATCGGCTAAAATCACAATTCGATAGTGTTCCTTCGCTCGCACTCTGGTCCCGCGCCCTCGTCGAAGAAGAGACTGGCGGAGCCAGCCCGCCCGATGCAAACTCGCAGTAGAACGAGACCTCGTATAGCGGCGCACGGCGAGCAGAGCGACGCTCCAATTACGGACGTATTTCACTTAACTTGTCGACTGCTTGTCCCGTGAACGCATCACCTCGCCGCGCGACCCGGTGACGGCTTTAATACGCATAGGAAATTTCGCGAGTGTTACGAATTAGATCTGCCTGCGTAGCGGCGCATCTGAAAAGGATTGTCTTCTCTCTTTGCCAAGTCGGTTAATTTGAGCAATTAACCGGCAATAAAATGCAGACTGCTCGGCACGATAAATAAAACGCATTTGCACGGTAATGGATCTCCCCCTCTCTCTCTCTCTCTCTCTCTCTCTCTCTCTCTCTCTCTCTCT